AAACACTTCCTAATGTGGACTTTCTCCCTTCGTATACTATGGCCTCTTGCTCTGGGCATCAAACACTGATGTGAATGGATAATTTATTGAAAATTCTGTGTATCTCATACAGATGCCAAAGGGCGCCAAAGGATTATTTGCTTACTGAGACACAGACAAGAAGATCACAGTATGGTAAATATGAGGCTACAGCTGGCAGTCAGTTAGCTTAGCTTAGCATAAAGACAGGAAACAAAGTTTCAGAAAAGTTTAATTGAACACTTATTTTTGGGAAACATCTAAGCTGACATTGTCCAAAAGTAAAAAATATATAGTTATATGTTGTTTGTTTAAACTGGACAATAATGAAGTAAAAAAAAAAAAACAGTTTTCCAGCTTTTTGCTATGGTGACTGATCTCTTGGGTGTGGCTTCATATATAAGACCAATAATATCATCTAGGTAATTATTCAGTGTTCTGATTTTACAGTTTCTCTCTTTTAGTATGGCCTTGGTGTGTTCTTAATATGTATTAATGTTTTTATTGTATTTCTTTTAGTATTTTAACCTGTTTTAGTGTTGCTTGTTATTATTATTGTAGCAGGACCATTTGCATTGCTTTTTATTTGAGTACAGACTGCATCAGTAGACTACAGGAGCACCTCTGCAATGCCAATACAGTGTTCTTCTTCTTCTTCCTCTTAGGAGTTGAATACAGCCTCAACAACTGACTGAATGCTCAGTGTTTTTAACCACATATCACCATTTTAATCAGAGAATGGAAGTGGCATCCTTTTTCAAACTGATCATTTAAACACCAGTTTACCAGACTGAGCACACATTATAATCAAATGAATAAAAAAATATTTTAACAATTCTTAGCCTCCTCAGAAAATTAAAACTTATCCTTGCCTTTTTAAGTATACAACTGATATAATAAGTATTTTTATACTCAGATTTATGAAATTATGTGCACATCACTTTAGTAAATGCCTGTTTTCCTATCTTTTTTCCTCCCTACATTACAGTGATGGATGTTTACGTATGTGCATGTGAACACGCTTATTCGAGAATCCACACCCCTTCAGCTCCTCCAAACAGTTACAAATGAATCAAGGGATGCCTCATCCTGGACAGAAATCTCAGATGTTGTACATGGGATCTGTTGGAGCCACTCTCCCAGTTTGGGGGTCAAAGCCCCCAATATTCCTATTACCACAGGGACCACTTGTGCCTTCACCTTCCACATCTTTTCTAGCTCTTCATTCAGCCCTTGGTATTTCTCGAGCTTCTCGTGTTCCTTCTTCCTGATGTTGCTATTGCTTGGGATTGCTACATCTATCACTACGGCCTCTTTCTTCTGTTTGTCCACCACTACTATGTCCAGTTGGTTGGACCAGTTTGTCAGTTTGTATCTAGTAGTCTGACAGGATCTTAGCTTGGTCATTCGCAACCACCTTTGGAGGTGCATCCCATATTTAACTTTGGGACTTCCATCCTGTACTCAGCACAGATGTTTCTGTACACTATGCCAGCCACTTGGTTATGGCGTTCCATGTATGCCCTGCCTGCTAGCATCTTGCACCCCGCTGTTATGTGCTGGATTGTCTCAGGGCCATCTTTGCACAGCCTGCAGTCTGGTATGGTAGACCCCTGCCTCTATTGATCTTGTACTTAGAGCCTGTTCCTGTGTGGCCAGGATTAGTGCCTCTGTGCTGTCATTCAGTCCAGCTTTGTCCAGCCACTGGTAGGATTTTTCGATATCAGCCACGTCTACTATTTGACGGTGGTACATACTTTGTCCTTCCATGAGGGTTCCTGCTCTTCCTTCCCTTGTTCTTCTGGTTTCTGCTGCCTAAGGTATTCACTAAGCATGTCAACACTCGGGACCATCTTCCTGATGTATTCATGGATCTTTGTTGTTTCATCCTGGATAGTGGTTCTGACACTCACTAATCCTTGGTCTCCTCACCGTGCATTGTAAGGAGCTTCCTTGTCTTGATGTCAGTGGCCTCTATCTCCTTCTTTGGCCAGCTTATTATGCCAGCGGGGTACCTGATGACCGGCAGGGCATAAGTGTTAATCGCCCGGACTTTGTTCTTTCCATTCAGCTGACTTCTCAGGACTTGCCTTACTCTCTGCAGGTACTTGGTGGCTGCTGCTTTCCTTGTGGCCTCTTCATGGTTCCCATTTGCCTGCGGGATCCCAAGGTACTTGTAGCTGTCCTCAACATCTGCTATGTTGCCTTCTGGTAGTACAATCCCCTCAGTTCTGACTACCTTCCCTCTCCTTGTTACCATTCAACCACACTTATAATGACATTCTGATGTCCTGGCTGTAGATCCTAGTGGTGTGGATCAGTGAGTCGATGTCTTGTTCACTCCAAGCATACAGCTTGATGTCATCCATGTAAAGGAGGTGGCTGATGGTTGCTCCGTTTCGTAGTCGGTATCCGTAACTGCTCTTAGTGATGATCTGGCTGAGGGGGTTCAGTCCTACGCAGAACAGCAGCGGGGACAGAGCATCTCCTTCTTAGATACCGCAGTTGATGTTGACTTGTGCAATTGGCTTGAAGTTGGCCTCTAGGGTTGTTTTCCACATTCCCATTGAGTTCTTGATGAAGGCTCTTAGAGTCCTGTTGATGTTGTACAGTTCTAAGCATTCCAGGATCCATGTGTGAAGCATTGAGTCATAGGCTTTCTTGTAGTCAATCCAGGCAGTGCACAGGTTGGTATGCCTGGTCTTGTATTCTCGAGTGACTACTTTGTCAACCAGTAGCTGGTGCTCTGCTCCTCTGGTGTTACTACCAATTCCTTTCTGGTGGTGTTGTACTGGATTACATTATATTCAGAGGTGTTCCTAATATTCTGACCCCCTCATGCATGTCAATGGGCAAGACAAAGATATACAGACACCTCTGAATATAATGTAGTCCAGTACAACACCACCTTTAACTATGACCTCGTTACTAAACATACAGTATAATTGAATTTATACATTTATGACAATCTCACCAAAAACTGAAACATTTTGAGCTTCATAAACACAAATGTTAAGGCAGAAGTGATGCATTAAAGCGCATACAGATGTACATGTGGTCATAATGTTATGTCTGATCAGTGTATATACAGTATATATATATATATCTCAACTGACAACTCATTCAGCTTAGTCAAACATGAACACTGAAAAGAGAAACTCACCCTCTGCTGACTTTGGATTTGATGAGATTATCTACATAAAAATCTATATTTTTATATCTGGAGGCACTTGGTTCCATTGAAATGGCTTTCACATACAAAAAGAAGTATTCTAACTATGTACAACTACTGTGTGCATAATAAAAAGCACAAACTTGCAAGACGGTGGATGTAGGTCCAGTCACTATACTGATGTGTTAAAATGTAGAGATAAAATTGGATGTGGCTATATTAATTACATTTACATGTTTTATGTATTTATTTATTTAATTTTTAGTTATTTAAGCAAAAAGAGGGGTTTCAGTGAGTAATGTAAAGGAAAGCAGAAAAGCCAAAAAAAAATTTTAAACTGGGAGAAGTTCAGTGAGAGTACGAGGTGGCTGTTCGAATGTGATGGGAGCAGGGGTAATAACTGGGGTCGTGAATAGACGAGCATCAAACACCAGATGCCAGACCAGCTATAAATTTAAATATAATTACACTGCGGTCTCATCCATGCATATAACCACTTCCTCTCTGCTCATTTATCATTTAGCAGAATTTGAAAAAAAAAGTTAAATTGAACACTTACTTGTGGATCAATTCCTATCATAGTGAGGCAAATTTAGAGACGAGGAAATAGAATTTATGTTCTAAAGGCCCATTAATAATAATAATAACCTGGGATCTCTACAGATTCCATGTGACACTTTCATTAATATCCCTAGTGCTTTTAAATGATTTATTGAACTGCAGTATATAACACCACAGTCTGCATGCTATCTTTAAATTTCTTTCTTTCTTTCTTTCTTTAAACCAGGTGGCCTGGAACTTGTTTCGTGTTTCATGTGGATAAAACTGGCTTTAAGAAAGCCAAAATTACACATATTCATATTGTAACTGCACATAAATCCTAAATGTGAATGGGATGAGTGGCTTTGCTTGTTGGAAGCAGGCAACATGGGTCTGATCAGGGGAGACAGATTGCAAACTGGAGGAAAGATAAAGGAGGAAACCAAATGGGAAAAGCAAATTGCTGACAGAAACAATTTCTGCTTTAAATGAATTAAAAAGAAAAAAAGGCAAGAAAAGGGGATACAGCATGCCTTTTACTTTGTCTGAAGAAGCTATAAAACCTTAAAAGCAGCAATAAACAGACTCAGACAGCAACAGTAGACATAAGAAGATATAGATTTTAATATCTTTATAAACATTTTTGTACTGTTGTTCTCTGATGATAACTTACTGAACAACTGAATTATGGCAAAAAAGGAGAGGGTGAACAGGTATACAGTAGAACAAGAAAGAGGGAGGTGAGGAATTGTGCATTAACAAATAAAGGGTTTAAAAGTATAACATGAAAAATACGTAATTAAACAAATCACCAGAAAATCAAAACTTGAAAAGCTCCTTCTCACAGAAGGAGCAGAAAACCCTGTTATCATCATCGATGTCACTGATATTGTTTTTGTCATATTAATACAGTAAATGATTAAGATCAGCACTGCAAGAAGTCCTCTAGTCTTCATTGTTACTGGTACATGTCACATCATTGATACAACAACATCTTATCAGTTGATTCAGGGGAGGCACAAATGCTCCAGAAGAACAGCAAGATGCCCACTACTTGTCCGTCTTTCAGTCCGGGATCCATTACATCCCCTTGATGCTTCAGATGTGATCGTCTTGGTCTTGGATTCCCATGTCCACGGACAATCACATCAGTTTATTAAGAGGCGTAATTCTCTCTGAACGCCCCCTGTTTTGCCTCGCTCCATTCCAGGTTATTAAAAAAATCTTTTATTGATCACATGAGTCATTTAAGGTATACACACTTTTTTTTTTTTTGTATTCCTTTGAAGTTAAGTCATTATGAAAAAAATGTGTTCCTCAGATTCTCAGTGAGGGAGGTATGCCCTCACCACAAAGGGATTAGTTCAGCGCAACCTCACCAGGAAACTGAGAAAGTCTCGTCTGACCCTTGACCTCCCTGGCCCTGCAACAGGGATCTGTCTTTAGGTCCGTTTTGTGTCTTAGAAAAATGAAATGAACAACATCAGACACAAGATATAGACAAACACTTCAATATTCACAGCTTGACCTCCCAGAGACACACACTCTTATCCAAGCAAATGAAAATAGCGCACGGCAGTCCTCGTCATCTTTTAGCAGCTCGAAATTCAGTTGCACAGGAAAGAGGTGGTATGAATGAAGCTGGAGACAGAGCTGTGTGTGGAAATGTAATCCCAATGAGAAAATAGGCAGAAAATTGGTACACTACCTGAAAAATTCCAGCGTTATGCAGAGTATAGTTGTTACAATATGTTACAGCTTTATCCAGTGTGCTCTGTTTATGGCCTGAAAACATCTGTGGCTGTAGATTTCCATTTCGTGGTACGAATGGCACATTCCTAGGTCTGATATGGACTGACGGTTTATTGCCACATTTACACTTACCTAATTGTTATGCCCTGTTTTTAGCAAAGGATGCAACAAAAAAACACATCTAGCAGAAAGGATGAGAACTAGATAGCACTGACACTTGAGGCCTTACATGTCCATTGGCGTTTCATTTGTACCTTCTTGATAACAATTTACAAACTGTAAACTGAAAATTAAAGCTTGTCCATCTCAGAGTTAACCAACTAACAGGTTTTACCTTGCCAGCTGTGCCATCTCTGCCACTGTTGCTGTCTTTTCCCCAAATGTAGTTAAAAAACCTATATATGATACCAAAACATATGACGATGAAATCATTCTGGCTTATGTGGCAGTGCAAGCTTGGTCTGAATTCATCTTTAATTATTCCCAGTGCCTCCAAACTTTGTCCTGTGAGCCTCTCTGTTGTAGATGTTTGATGCTTTGATGCCTGTTTCAGCCCGAACAGCAAAGCTCCCAACACAACATTTACACAGATAATCATACTCGCACACACATATATAAAAAAGACACACAGGCCTTGTACAATGCAGGAGCAAGAGAGGATCTGAGGGATGTGTTTTTTGTGATTAGCATTTGACAATCCCTCTGAAGGTCAACAGAGAATGTAGTCGATATTTGTTGTTATCAAGGCCACAAAGAGGGCGTAGCGATGTAGTAAAGACTGGGACGAGATTGCCCTATTGTTGGCTTGCTGAACCCCACTAGGGGGGCGAACAGTGGTCCGGGGAGTGCACTTGTGCTTCCTCCGTGTGACGGTGCCATCTGGGGATGTGTGGTCATGTTTTCCCCCATCTGTGAAATCTGGGGAGGAATCCTCCTTGTCTGTCATGACCTCCTTTGAGTGGTGAACTTCGTTGTGACCCTTACCCTTGCTCACCCTGTTACGAGGCTTTGTGCAGTTCCGAGAATGACCAGGCCTCGAGGGGTGCACTATATGGGTCTGCCCTCCAGAGCCCACCACTACACCGCGATTCATTGACGGATTCACTGTGCCAGATAAATTATTAGTCTGGGCTCTGGACTCAGAGTTAGGAACAATTGGTGAACAGTTGGGGAAATCCTCCTTGCGCATTGCCTTGAGGTCTTTCCCAACCATATCAGGTGGTGCATGGCAACCCACTGAAGATGTTGAACCTCGGAAGCGTTTCAACCATTCCCACAGCGACAGGGCCTTGCAATCACATGACCAGGGGTTATCGTTCAGGCGCAGGTATTCCAGGGCAGGTAGTGTGTCCAAGCACTGTCCAGACAGCTGTATCAGGGAGTTGTTGAACAAGTAGAGGGTGGTGAGATGTTTCAGATCATGGAAGGCCAGGCGGTCAACCCATTCAATCTGGTTTTGGTGCAGAAGTAGTCGGTCCAAAGCTCGAAGGCCTCTGAAGGTGTTCTGGTTAAGGCTCCACAGACGATTTCCATGCAGGAACAGGTGGCTCAGGTTGTGGAGGTCCATGAATGTGTCATCCTGCAGGAACCTCAGATGGTTATCCTGAGGGGATACAGAGAACATGCAATCATAAGATTACAGGTTATGTGATGTTTTCAATTCAACATTATTGTGCTGTCTTAATGTAACCTTAACTTCTGTCTACATGTCATGAATACATTTTGTGAATCAGCATACTACTACCCACATAAACAAATCAAATATTCAATCAAAAATCATCTGTACAAATTCAAAGTTTTTGGTGAATAACTGCTCCGGGTTATGTCTGAAATGAGCCAGAAACACTACAAAGGGTACCTGCAAGTACAGATACTGTAGGTTTCTGAGGCCTTGGAAGATGTTATTAGGAAGTGAACTGAGTCCACAACGGTACAAGTGTAGTGCATTGAGTCGACTCAGCCCGCGAAAGGTGTCTTCGGCCAAGGAGCGCAGGTGGCGGTTGTCTCCCAGATCCAGCTCCTCCAGCAGTGCGAAGCCATGGAAGGTGGAGGGCTCAATGTATGTGATGTTGTTGGAATAGATCCAGAGAGTGACTGTGTTGGTGCTGAAGTGGCCCCGGAGCAAGCGATGGATCTTATTGTTCTGTAGGAAGATGCGCTCCCTGTCAGGAGGAATGCCTTCAGGGACTGTCAGGAAGTTGTGGGCTTGGCAGGAGACTGTGCTGGGTGCAGTGTAGCAGATGCAGTGACGAGGGCAGGACCAGGAAAATTCGAGCCCACAGAGAACCAGCAGGAACTCCAGTCCACAGCCTGCAGTGAGCACACACGTGGTTAACAGAGAGAAAGAGTATGGTTGACAGACATAAATCACACACATACATGCACATAAAGAAGGACAAGGACAAGGACAAAACAGACAATCAGCTAAGTGCAATTCATTTTGACTTGAAATATAGGCTTAGTGCCTTATTGTCTAGTTCAGGGATTTTCAACTAATTGTAAGCTTGGGACTACCATTCTGACTAAGAAGTAACCTGTTGTGGGGTAAATAGACTGGATGAACATTATTTTAATCCAGAAAGTCACCTTGATTGTCTAATTGTTATATATTCGCATGAATGTGATTATTCACAAACAATAATCAATACATTGAAGTATGTTTTAAAATTAATTTGAAAAAATTGTGAAACTACATTATTGAATGTGTGGTCATGGACCACCTGCAATGCCTTCAGAAACCACCGGGGGGCCACAGACCACTGGTTGAAAACTCCCGGTCTAGTTCCAAAACTTTAAAAACATCAACAACCGCATTTGCCACTCTGAGGCTGTATTTGAGCTACATGCTAATGTCGGCATGCTGCCATGCTCACGGTGACAATGCTAACATGCTTATTTTACACAGGCGCAGCATAATGTTTAGCATGTTAGCATGACAACATTTCTACAGCTGAGGCTAATGGAAAAAAATGTCAAAAATGTTGCCTGTTGGTAGTGTTAGAGGAAATGTCAGTGGATCACCAAAGTCATCAGAATTTATTGTCCAGGGATTTTAGATAGCTATAGTCATTTTAATGTCAGACTATCTGGTTACGATATTTCACTCTGAAACCCAAATGCCAACACTACAACCATGCGTGTTCAGTCTGGACCAAAGAGGTGGACAAACTAACAGGTCAACATTGCCATTTCCAGAGCCATGCCATTACTGTGGCTACTGAAGTCAGACAACAAAGGTCAGAAAGCAACACTAAGCAGAACCCACAGTGGCTTGTATTGCAATTTGAAAATGAATTCCTCATCTGACTTTGTGCCAGTCACATCATACTGTAGGTCCATTTTCAGTTTTGTTTCCCTCAGATCAGTTCAACTCACAGCTACACCTTCTCTGCCACAGTTTACAGCCCAAATCCACTGAGTGTGTTTAGGTTCACAGCGAGGAACCTATTGAAGTTAGCAAACAATAACACCTGCTCTAGTGAGTCACAAGACATCTCAGTGAAGTGGACTGGATCCCTGGTGCAACACTAATTCAACACATATGCAGCTATTTCAGAAATTACCCTTTCCAATATTCTGCCACCACAGGGAGATGCTCTATTAAGAGTCCGCTCCCTTCCCTGGGAACACTGGCACTACTTAGCATCAAGCAGAAGCTGTGATCAACCCATGTGTGTTGCTAAATGGGGTGTGGAATGCTTATTTACACTTGTAGTAAGTTACTCTGAGGCATTTTGTGATTGGTGACATGATTCCCCAGATCCTTGGGATGGGAGATGTATGACTTGTCCACAGTCTCATCTAAAATGAGTACAACTCACTACCCATCATGAAAGTGCCATCTGACAACCCGTGGCTGTCTTCTACTCAATTTATTATTCACCACAGAGCAGAAGCCTGATTCACTGCCTCTAATCGATATGCCTCTCTTGCCTTTTAACTCACCCTGTAAACCAGGGTCTTTTATGCTGGAAATACAGGAGCTGCAGAATTACTCTTCATCAAGACACAAGCATATTTATCTGAATGTATTTTCTCACCAAACTGGCTAAGCTGTGACATTCAGCGTCTGACTCCATTGACCTTTAACAGTAATTCTCAGTGTCTAGTTGCAGAGCAGCAGCACGAAGCAGCGCGTCACCTGAACAGGAGTGTGCTCTCTCAGGCACGGATCTAATCCTATTTGTTAAGCCTTGCCACTGCGCAACAATGGAAATGCACGCATCCTCCTGAAGCAGAAATGTGCCCACTAAATGAAGTGATTTTTCACAGTTCAACACTGTCCAAAGGTTGAATGTGAGTGTGTTCACGTGTGCTGTGGTGGAGACCATGACATGGCACGTAGCTGTTTTTAACTCAGTTTTTCTCTCTGCCCTCCACTCTCATGAAGCTGTATCAAGCATGGCACCTACTGACTGAGTAGATAGGTGAAACTGTTTTGCATTACCTTTTGGGAAATGAATGTTTTCTTTATTTATCAGACAGATAAGCAGTACAAGACACAATAACACTTCCAGCTGCTCTTTGAGGAACATTTGCATTAAGCAGCTGTCACCCAGTACTTGAGATGCACATTTCCAGTCATTTAATTTGGTATTGATTCACATTTTATTAGACTGTTGACCCTCACAGAACACACAAAATAAAACAAATCTTGCTTTATTTTGTGTGTTCTGAGATGAAATGATACAAATTTCAGTCACCTGCCTCAGCTGGAATTCATCCAACGGGTTTCATTATTGATAATACTGATCTCCTCTCGCCCCAGTCATTATATTTTTGGAGGCCTTAAACTCTTTCCATTAACACTTTACTTCATGCATGTCTTCAAAAGAATTAGGAACCAGTTTTATAATGGAAAATAATGTGAGCAAGAGACAGACAGTGATAAGAGTGATACACAGGGAAAAGGAGGGAATGAGAATGTAGATGCTGCCGAGATAGTGAGACGGTTTGAGTCAAAAATCCCCTAATCGTGTTGGACACAGAGGGATGCACTTCCTCTCCTTTCACTTGCCTCAGTTTGTCAGGACAAAGTAATAGATTCTTTCTCCTGCTTAATCTATTCCTCCAACATGGCTGTTTTACTGTTCTGTCTGATATTTCTGTTGACCGAAAAAAAAAACTAAGAAAAACATGGCAGATATGGGGTGTAATACATTTCTTTTTCCTTTTCTATAAACAAAATATTTTAACTTTACCCATGTTGAGGCTTTAGAAGATGCATACATATGATATAGGTGCTCTTTATATGCTGAGAGTATCTCATACACCTCCCTCTGCTGAGTGATGAGCGAGAGGCAGACAGACTTTGCCTTGGTTTCAGCCACACTGAGGACATGTGCTCTCTTTTGCAGCTGGTATAACATGCCACTCCCACAGGAGACGGTAATAGCGTCCAGCTCACTGAGCTCAGCAATTCATATATTGTATTTACCCCACCAAACACTATTTTAAATACAGCTGGTAAAATGAACACACTCACACAATGTCACAGAAACATCATGAGGTTTGCTGTTTGCACATACTGTGTGTATAAACTCTATGGACAAAGTAAGACATGCATTCTCAGAGAATTTACACATCCATCAGCTTGAATGAGGCAGATCATGTTCATCTGACAAGTAGAAAAGCCTGAATGAGGCTTGTTTGCCTAGCTTTGAGTGGGGAGAAACTAATGTGTGTCAAAGCTGCATTGTACACACACACAATGAGCCATTCAAATCAAATTGTATTATAAGAATAGCTTTGGACAGTAGGGAGCATATCTATGCCCATAGTGCCTATTGGAATTTGTCAGAATAAAAAAGAGGCTCTGAAAGAGAGACAGTGTATTGCTGGAAAGAGAAAGGCGCAAGAGTCCGGGTTGTTTATTAACACACTCGTCGTAAGTCTTTCACCTTGGAGTCTGTCCCCATGAGCTTCCCATCACCTCCTTCTTCCTGCCTGTTGGTTACTGATGACATATGTTACTAAAGGTCTTCACAGGGAGAATCACATTTGACTCGGTGGATCCATCATCACCAAGTTCCCAAGTTTTTCTTTTGGGGAAATGGATAAATAACTGAATAAAACAGAATGGTGTGTATCTCCTGACAGACAACGAGAAGTGACTGTGTAGAATATCAATGAAACCAGGTTCACATGAGATTTGCACTCATGAATAACACATCTCTGCTAATAGGAGGGAAATGGTACGCCTGTAGAACCGCATGACTCTGCCCATCATTAGACTGGACAAACTCAATTTCCTGTGTCTCTCCAAAGACCCTGATAAGCACCTTTGCTATTGGCTGGTTCTAAATGACATTTTGACATACACCACACTCAAAAGGTGTTTACAGTCATGTCTGTGCACACGGTGGTTAATAATGGCAATGTATTATATTAAACTGAAATTAAATGGGTTCATTCTTCTGAGAACCATGGCTAGCAAAATGTGTCCAGTGTTACTTTTGCTCTCTGGGGCTAAATGAGGTTTACCTGTATGATATATGGTAAATACTCTGTAATATTATATCCTGTAATATTCTAGTATATTTGATGGGGTGTAACACAATGCTACTACCCATATCTGTATGTCTTTATGTTACAAACATATCCGTATTCCTTTCTTAATCTTTATTAATCCTATAAGCATGAAAAAAAAGTCTAAAATGAGATGAAAACGGCTGGAATAACACTTAAAACTTGGATTTTGTGTATACTACAGTATATTCGGAAGTTTTTATTTTATTTTAGTTAGTCCCCAACATTTTCTTTTTAAATTAGTTTTTATCAGCCTTGACCACAACAATATATTGAATGTAACATTCTGACAATAATGGTAAATAATTGTGAATTTGTAGTATATTAGCAAGGTTGGAATGAAGCACACATGCGAGTTCATCACCTTGAACACACCATCCCCACTGTCAAACATGGTGGTGGCAGCATCCTGGTTTGGGCCTGCTTTTCTTCAGCAGGGACAGGGAAGATGGTTAAAATTGATGGGAAGATGGATGGAGCCAAATACAGGACCATTCTGGAAGGAAACCTGATGGTGTCTGCAAAAGACCTGAGACTGGGACGGAGATTTGTCTTCCAACAAGACAATGATCCAAAACATAAAGCAAAATCTACATTGGAATGGTTCACAAATAAACATATCCAGGTGTTAGAATGGCCAAGTCAAAGTCCAGACCTGAATCCAATCGAGAATCTGTGGGAAGAACTGAAAACTGCTGTTCACAAATGCTCTCCATCCAACCTCACTGAGCTCGAGCTGTTTTGCAAGGCGGAATGGGCAAAAATTTCAGTCTCTTGATGTG